AGAGGACGCACAAACTCAAAGGTCAGCAGCAGCAGCAACTTGAAAGTCAAACAAGCTAATAGGATGATCGATTTTATGGAAAAACGCGCAGTCTTTGCGACCAGGCGACAGACGGAACCGAACGCAGCCGGGGAGGGGGTGGCCAAATGGGATGGGTAGGCGGGTGCATGGAAGTGGAAAACAATTGTCTGTCAGTTCCTGTGTTCACCTATATGACTGTAATTAGTTCTAGGTAGTGATATGTGCATGTGCACGGTCGTTCGCATATCCAGAGAGGTTAAATTTAAAGTGTTCAATTGAATTTGACACGGAAATGCATATTTTGAAATAGTTAAACACTTCAGTTTTTTGTGAGACGCAGGCAGAACCGGTGTAATCTGACGTGAAAACCTGGAAAACAACGTTACGTCATGTGGTATCAGCGTACAAGTGTAACACCGGCCCAAACCAGGGCTGTATCCAGGACCATTAAAAAGAACCTGGCTGGATAATCAGCACATGGAAGAGTCAACTTGCAAAGTGAGATTTTTTTTCCATTCCGGAAGGGGAAACGATTCACCACAGGGAAAATCAATCGAGGATTACGAGAATCTGAAAAACAATCTTGGAAGATCCTACAGTGATTTCAAACATCTTGAACGTCGTTAACGAAACATTGTGATCCATACCAAAAAAGATGAAATTCAGTACTTCTATCAACTCGTTTATTTAACTGCCTTTACTTATGCCACTAGCCCCCTTGGGCATCACAACGATCTTTTGAGGAGCTTAGAGGTGTTCTCTACCAGCCCTGTGAGCACTTTTCCCTCGTGCAAATTTTGGTTCTACCCGTGGCCTAATTCGGTTTAACCTGCAGATCAACGGGGTTGTTCCAGACTGACCGTTGGTCAGTGATTCAGTGACTCTGTCGCCTCCTGAAAGCCTCGTATATTAGATAACCTCTTTGATGTCAGACTCTGAGGGACATTGTATGAGGCGTACGCTTGTCAAGCGACAATCCAGCGCTACAATTCCTGTTTGTTCGCTTGAACCCGATTAGCCACCAATTGCGATGATTACCAGCCACACGGCGGGAGGGGAGGGGGTAGCAGATGTCATTTCGGTCTGTCTCAGACATCTTCAGACATCTTCCAGGCTCAATAACGAAATTACTTGCAGTTGAAAATGAATGACCTCCGGGAGATGAGCTCAAGAGGGACAACCATCTGGAGTACACGACATACACGTCACCATTTGCTCGTATCCAACTGAGATACTTCGGAGAAACTAGACTAGATATTTGCAATTTGGTGGCGGTGGTCCAGTGGTGGTAGATAGGGTCGTCAAATTCACCACCTGAGTTGAAGCCTCACCACGGCCGCCCATCATCTGTAATTCCCTAGATAGCCTTTTATGCTCACATCCCCTTTCTGTCGAAAGTTTACTGTACATTTCTATAGTTCATAAAAAATGAAGTAAAACATTTATTTATTTTATAAAGCTGGTTTTTTTATTCATTCAAGTCTTTCTCAACTAGTTCATTTATTAATCATTGCTTTGATTCAATTAGAAGAATTGAGAGGACAAGTTACCACTAGCACTTAGCGATACTGGTTTTTATTGATGTGGACGCGGCAGATTTGAGCATGGATGATAAGTAGCAAGAACAATGTGTCCCATTTCATTTTCATCGGTAAAGCTGCCGTTCGAAAACACACTGGGATGACATCTGATACGGGCCGAATGCTGTTTGTGCTAATTAAACAACATTCAATGCATCCGCGATTGCCTGATCATGATTTGTTTGCAGTCCGAGCCACGTGCGTGCAGATGTATCAATTTCTTCGGACTGCACCGTTAACAATTCGTATTTGATCAGGGCGGTACAGAAATTAGAGGGGAACAACTTCGGATGTGGCTGGACACACACACACACTATCATACTAGCTCCCTTTGCTAGTGGAAGGAGGCATGGTAACGCCTCGAAAGGTTGGATGGGAAAGATACTGTAAGTACGGCGACCCACCCACCCCTCCTCTCCCATCCCCGTACACACGGACACCTGTCGCAAGAGCCACTGTCCAAAGCCCCGGTCCGTGATACGTGAAATTCTACAAACTAGCGACATTCTATTAATGACAAACAGATAAATATATAATGCTAGGCCAAGAAACCCATTATAGTTTTTCCGAAAATGGCAATATTCCTTCGTCAGATTGTGCAGTATCTTTGGCCGGGGTCAGAACTCTTATTTAGATGTAACTGATCTTTCCGTTCAAATGACGAGCCTAGTTACACGGGGAACTGCTGGTGCTGTTTGCATTTAACCATGTCTTCGTTCGTTGATGAAACAGATGGTGCACTTTATTTCGACCAATTATACTTTATATATATATATATATATATTTAATTTACTTTTTTTTGGTGAAACTATATATAGATTAGATAAATACCGATATAGCACAAATTCCGAGAACTAGAATCAAATAAGTTTTGAAACCATGCCACGATAGAGTGAAACTGTAATATAAGCGAACCGTGATTCAGCGAGGGAAAACTGTATGACAATAAGGTTCAAACTTTTATGACAAGGGATCGGCCGGTGGTAGTAAAAGAACTCTTGTGAGGAAGACATCAACCCGAGGTTCGTGATATCCGGGTAGAAAATCATAACATGCACACAATTATTTTAATTATTATTATTATTATCAAACCGTGTTCATCGTATCGGGGACTGGATTAACTTTGATCCAACGAGCACCAAA